TCTTGCTTTCTAACAAAGCCAAGCTTATTACTAAAGCAGAACCACTCCAGAACGATTTGAAGATGCCTACAAGGGAGATGATTAAAATACATCTGTGAAGATTTGTGGTCTGTGATTCTAATCTCTTCAGCTATAGTATGCAGCTCCACTCATGCTATGTGTGTTGTCAGTCCCCTTCTTTATTCCTATACCCCTTAAACCTTCAGAAGCATACTTTTTTTGATGTCTTCAGGGTTACCTTTGATGCGCTTACTCCTCGAGAAATTTTATGCCTCTGCCCTTAGATCTACCAAAACAAGACACCGAAACAAAGCAAGTCCCACATGCCTGTAAAATTCACTGTCACACAAATTTACAACTCTCCTCACTTTTCTAGCAAGTGAATAAGCACCACGACGATAGTGTCTGTAAAGCGAAACAACAAAAAATCGGCCATCCACACATAAGCCAGCAAAATCCCCTAGCCTCTTCTCCCTTTTTTTTCCAAGCTACTAAGCCTAGAGTGAGATAGAGAGCTATAGATGATGAGGGGAGATTGTGGTGCCTGACTCTTGAGGGCAAAACCCACAAAATACAAAAAGGCGATTTCACCGCTTAAATTTTATCCACAGCTACTAGCGCGGCGTAGGCTGCCTCCACTTTCTCTCCCTCTCTCGCTTTTTTTAGTGCTTTCGTACAGGCGTTTTCTAGGTTGTGGATTTGGCTACAGCGCACGCAAAATACCTCAGGCTTGGAAAAACCTTGTGCTGCTTAATGCAATCAGGTTTGGAGGGTCAATCCTTTGACAGGCAATTTATTTACGCCTGCTTAATTCAATGGCATCACTTTTTGTCAAGTGAAATGGTTGGAGAGTCCGCTTTTATAATAGCCGTGACCATGGCGACGAGTACATTCTCTTACGCTGCTAATAAAATATGTTTATAGATAACAACTAATTTATTCTTTTGGCATCTTGGAACTCCTTTTAAAGTACTTACCAGTTATTATTAGGGCAGGAACGGAGCTAATCTTATTTAATATGAGAAGTCGCAGATTCCGTTAATGAGTAGAATTATATTTGGAGATGAAGCTCTAACGAAGCGGTGTTTGTTTAAGCGAGCCGATTAAGTGAGCGGGCTTTTCATCCCCACTGACATGACCTTTCAACCAGCCCATTCTCCTCATCTGTACTGCTGATGATTAACCATTCTTTTTCTTTAATATGTTACATTGAATCTCCAGAGGGGACCGAAAAGCTTAAAAGGCTCCTTTTTGATGAAGGGTCAAAGTTCAATAACACCATCTATTTATTTATCAGCCCATTATGAGCATCTGTAAGTGACTATCGTGAACCAATCAGTAAAAAATAAACATATTAGCACACTACAAACAAAACGGGTTTGTCTAAATGATGTCAGCTTATACATTTTCAATTCTTTAATCAAAGGATGTAAAAATAAGCTTTTATATGTAACCTCTATAGACATAACTGAATAAACACCATAAAAGGAGGGGTTTGACGGATTTCAAGCACATTTAAACATACGAAAACCTTTTTTTTATAATTTTGTCCTTAAGTAGAATGATGCCGCTCTGACGGTGTGGAAACGACCATAATATAAACGAATGGAGAGTCAGAGGAGCGAAGGGCGTGACCAACCAACCATGTAGGTAAGCGGAAGCGAAACTTCTGGAGAAGTGAAAAGCAACCATAGTTAAACAAAAGTCAATATATAACACCAAGCCATTGTTCCCGGTCCGCCTCTTGATAATGATTTTGCTCCGGTCATTACGGCTTAAGGAGGTATCCATTACGTTTGATCCCTTTTTTTGTAATGAGATCTGAGGTTTCATCCAGGAGGTAGATACTGACCGGCCGAAGTCCTATTGCTTAAGGCCGGGTGATGCTTTACAACCACCGCAAGAACATTTGTCGGCAGGTATAGCTTTAAGGAGATATAATTTCTGATCCATCCCTTCCTGCCATTTCCTTCCTGTTTCCATTGGTACTTAACCTTAATCAGCTCCCTTGTAGACTTCTTCAAATCACTCAAGGCTAGTGTTTGTCAGAACCCAAG